CGTTGCCAACCTGCATCTCGTGGAACAAGCCTTTCACTGCAGCCGGATCACATTTTTTGGGGCAACACACAGAGGCTGCTAGGTAGTGCGCTACGGACTTGAAAGACATGTTGCAGATTCTGCAACACGCCACAAGTTCGAAAGAACGTGCATAATCCTTTCTTTTGTCACCCGAACATTCCTTCCCATCAGCGAGACATAAACGACAAGTCTTTGAATATTGAGTGGCATGGTTGGCGGAGGAAAAGAAGAAAAGAGGGGGGTAGAAAGGTACGCGCATTCTCCCAGCCGAAATTCCTCTCGGATGCTCTAACCTAATCGCTTGCAATAATCGCTTGTCAAGAGAGACACGGCAACACCGGAACGGAAAGAAGCGTCAATCTGCAGATATACACACTGTCGTTGTGCACAAGTAATAATGCATCTTCTAAATGCACTTTCAATCAAATAGAACGAGTTTCATCCATTCCATCGAAAAGTGACTCTCTGCCAATCAAACGGAAACACAATGCTGTGGTGCACCCCGGCTATGGTCGCCCGCCAGTCCGCCTCTCCGCCCATCCAAAGTTTTCTGGAATTTTGCGAAAGATCGACGCTAATGCAAAACTTGATGTGGCTCAGTCCCGCTTGTCAGCCACAACTCTAAAACGGCGCATTCTCGGGATTTAGGACGAGTCGTCTCCCCCCCCCCTCCCCATGAGCCTCCAAAGCAGGTAGAGCGTGGCCTCCAACCAGCCGCCATCGCCGTTGCACTTCCTCCTTTTTTCGGGACAGTTGAAGCAATTATTGATTTCAAACTGTACCTGACCCCTTCATGCCCGGAGTCGCACTCGCCCACTGAGGGCCCGAGATTTCGATATGCGGCAATTTTCGACCCCAAAACGCAATTGACCCCTTGGCGAGGTGACCCTGGTTCCCCGTCGTACTCCCATCTGAAAATGAGCTTGTGTTCGGGGTGCCGCACGGGCAGTTCCGAAAAAGGCATGGAGCCTCTGAGCAGGGGTGCACCGTCCTGGGGTGTGCAATCAGATAAGGTAGAGCCACAGTCCGATAAGAAGAAAAGGTACGTCACTCTGGACTGCGACCGAAGGGGGAAAAAATAATTGGTAAACCCACCACCACCACCACTCACTCCTGGTGAATCGCGAACATCCCACTATCCTGCTCGTTTCCTAGTCACGCTTTCCAGCCCCTCAAAACGCAAGATGGAGCCGATGATGCTAGTCGGAGACATTGTCGAAAAGGAGACAGACCCTGCGAAACCTCTTGTCTTTGACGACATCGACGCCGCCCCGACAGGCTTCCCCGCACACAAGAAACGCGCCGCCCGCGTCTCGGCCTTCAAGCAGCAACGGCAAGGCAAGCCCACGACAGGTGCCCAAGCCGCGGCCGCCACCTCCTCGATCCAACCAAAGTCCAGCGATGATGTTGCCGCAGACTCACAAAAGTCTTTCGAGGCCGCCGAGCGACGGAGAATCGACCGCGAGAACAGGCAGAAGCTGGAGGATATGAGCCCGGAGGACATCGCCCAGGAAAGGCAGGAGTTGTTGAACTCTCTGGACCCGTCTCTTATCCAGAGACTCCTCGGCAGGGCCAATATAGACGAGCAGCACGGCCCGAATCCATTTGATCCGCCCGCGGACGAAACCAAGAAGGAGCCGTCGGCCCCGACACCAGAGATCAAGATCGAGGACACCTCCGCGCCACCGAAACCCAAGCCAGCACCAAAACCCACCACGAAATCAGTCTCTTTTGCAGACGAAGATGACGAAGAATCCTTGTCAAAGGCACCGCCAAAGCCTTCAACCACACACGAAGACAAGGCCCCCGCCGCCCCTCCGCAAGACCTCTTCCCCCTAAACGACCAGCCCGACAAGACGCACTTCCCACAGGCACCCGCCCTCCCCGACCTCGACCCCTCGCACCCCGACTTCCTCCAGACCCTCCACGAAAAGTTCTTCCCCAACCTCCCCGCCGACCCGAGCAAGCTTGCCTGGATGGCGCCCATTCCCACCGCCGACTCCCCCGCCGACCGCGAATCCCCCTACTACCCAGGCCAATCCTCACTCCCCATCGCCGCCCTCCGCTTCGACTTCAAGGGCGGGCTCATCCCGCCCCGTCTGAGCAGATCGATCCCCACGTCTAAGGGCCTACACCACCACGGCCAGGCGCCCGAGGCGGCGGGCTACACGATCGAGGAGCTGGCCATTTACGCGCGGAGCGCCGTACCCGCGCAACGGTGCGTCGCGTTCCAGACGCTGGGGCGGATTCTGTACAGGCTGGGTAAGGCCGAGTGGGGCAACGGCGAGGAGGATAGCCTGGGTCGCGGTATCTGGAGCAGTATACAGGAGGGACGCGTGCTGGAGAGCTTGTCCGAGGCGGCGATTGTGGATGGTGGACACAGGGGCAGTCGGGCGTATGCAACGGAGGCGCTGTGGTTATTTGAGAAGGGCGGGTGGAGGGAGCAGTGGTCTGGTAGATAGATAGGGGGGTGAATGGTCCTGCAATGCTTGAGTAGATACGCCGTGATTCGGTGCTCGCCTCGAAATGATACCACTGTTTACCAAGATCTCGCAGATTAATACGGCTGTCAATGTGTAAATCAAAGTTGATGTTCGCCATGTAACTACACCAGCGAAGACTGCGAGGAACAAGAGCGTGTGAGTGAACGTCCTGCTTTCCAAAGACCAATTGTCAGCAGCCAAAGTCCCCTCCAGAATACATCGACTCCCACAAAACCAAAGACCATCAAATCACGCCGCAACTTAGCAATGAGTCAAGTCTCGTCCTCGTCTAGACATCTTCGAAGCCTACGAGTAGATACGAAAAATAAAAATAAAACAAGTTCAAGCTTTGCAAGCGAGTCAAGCCCCTCCTCCAACCCCATCGACAGACTGCTCGAACAATGGCAATACGCGAGGTACGAGGTACGAAGTAATAGAGTAGAGGAGGCTCCGATCGGAGCGGAGCCAGCTCCGTGAACCTTGATCATTTGTGTGTGAGTGTGTGAGTGAGTGTGTGTGCGTATGTGTGTAGCTATGCGCAGAAGCTAGGGAACGCTGTGGCCTCTTCGCCGGGGTTTGTATAGGAACGATACTTGATGGAGTTGGAGGGGGATGTTCAGATTCCATTGATTTACTTTAGACAAGGTCAATGACTTGATCTCCTGACTCGCAAGGGGTTCATACCATAAGACACGGAGTCGCGGGCGTATAAACCACGGCGACGGGCACTTTCTCCGTAAGTCGTCTTTGCGGCCCAACGTCTCATGCTCCAATAGAACATCATGCACACACAATATGGCAAGGCCCAACGAGAATGGACAGGCGGCATGACTCTTTACTCTTCATCCCTCAGATAGGTACCCCAGATAGGTCAGCTTTACAAGAAGATTCCTAGCTCAATCCACAGAGCTCCTGGTCCTCGAGACATCGTGACCTCGAACCTTTTCATCTACAAGATCCCTTCCTCCGGACCCTGCATCCCCCGCTCTCGACGCGTGCCATGCCAACCCCCGCGAGCTCATCTACCTAGTACCCGAACTCCGCGCCTTCCACGGGGATTGTAGGCTCTCAGACCGGAAGCAGTCAAGATTGCCCCGTGCCGGATGCAAACCTGTCGGCCGGATGCTTAGGTGATGCCACTTCAGCCACAATGTGCTGATTCGAAGTTCGACAGCTGTCTCTGGAAGGCCAGTTCTTGGGGAGCGATTCCAGCCTCGTCGTCTCTAGTTCCAGATCGGACGTATGGAGCGGAAAGCTTCTGCCATCCCCCCCACGCAAAAAGGAAACCTATCAGGCTACTCCTCTGCTACTTCACTAACCTTTCGTTGCCTTGGTCAGTACTGACACATTGCAATTTAGACCGAAAGAGGTATACGAAAAGCTCTATTCTCGTTCTCTGCTATTGGTGTAGGGTCTTGGACTGGCGGAACCGGAGCCTGACGCGAGTTACACGAGATCTCGCAACTTGGAAGTGGCTTCATGATGCCGACCGTCGAGCGCCATCGTCCATCAGTTCTTCCTCAGTTCTCGATTATCTGATCAGGGTCTTCGCTAGCTTGCCCCAACTACGTAGGTGCCGTGCAGCTGCTCAAGGGCAGCTGTCGCTGTAAATCTCGGGCGGTTTGTCTTGGCATAGTTTCGAACCAGACTGCCGGGCTCTCTCCACGATGCATCTCGTCCTGAGACGTCGTCCGGTCGAAAGATATCCCAACTCGAAGAACGCACGAGATACTAGATTGAGGCGGGCAAGTCCACCTTGCTGTGCATGGCTCAACCTAGGTCCACTTGTCAGCCAGTATGATCTATTGCCCGTCCACGCATCTAAATGGTCCAACATTGCGAGATAAAAGAAAAGAAAAAAGAAAAAGACGTTTGACGACGGTGGCCCCGACTGAGGGAGGGTCCGTCCGTAGATAGAGTTTACCTCTGTTCCAGAACCTCCAAAGGTTGGGGTCGACGGGCCATTCATGGGTCTCAAGCATGAGACGAGACCTTTCCACAAGGGATAAGGATTGGTCAATCCACCCGGTGTCGAAAGAGAGTTCTCTACCTTCCCCCTTTGTGGGAGTCGTTTCCACACTGCATCTAGAACTTCTGGTCGGAGAGTCTCTCCGACCGAGCCGAACGAGTTCTGGGCCGCGTTGGCTTACTCGCGTTCATCGCGGAGACCGCACCTTGTTCCTATCCTGTGCTATCGTCAGTATTTTGAAACTCAATGCTGAGATGTCATGTCAAAGAGCACATACCCCCCCTTTCCAAGCCTTCCCTGCGGCACGTGTTGACTAGGGGAGGTGACCTCCTCTGATCCCTCTTTATACACAGAGGCGTCCACGAGTCTTCGGTCGGGGGGGATGTAATCGTCTTTCGTTCTCGTCTTGGAAAAAATCTGCTCTCGTGGTGAGGAATTCTGCTGCTTGAGCTCCCTGGACTCGTCACAGTCAACCAAAGCATCGATATGCACACAAAACGTTCCGTCATGGGCCGGAGCGAGCAGCAATGAGCATCAACACAAGTCCGATCGGAGCGGCGCCGCCACCGCCCGGGGAGACGCCCAACTTTGACAATCCCCGTGACGCCGGGCATATGCTCCACATGGTGTACATGATTCTCGTACAGATTGTTGTCGTGGTTTTCTTCGCCTTGCGGGTCTACGTCAAACTGTCAGTGAATGGAAAGTTTCGACTGGAAGATTGTGGGTGTTGTCCTGGTGTACCCGGTTTAAGCCATGCTGATATGTGAGATAGGGAGTTGCCTAGTTGGATGGGTAAGCTTACGGCGTCTGAGCTAGATAACTTGCGGGTCCTGACTGTGCTAGATCTTCACCGTGATCTTGAACTCGACTGTTTTCATCAGTAAGAATTGTCCGCATGTTCTCGAGCACGAGCACCCGCTGATAGGATGAACAGAACTCCATTTCGGCGAAGGATTCCATATCTGGGAGATCACTGCTAGCAACTTTAACGAGCTCCAGAAGGTATGGTAACTCATGGAACAAGGCGATGATCCTTCGTACTGATAGCGGAATTATCAGTGGCTGTATATCAGCTCGCTCCTGTATTCGCCGGCAGCCTTTTTCACCAAAACGGCCCTCCTGCTTCTTACCGTTCGCGTTTTCTCCGTCGACAGGACCGTTGCCCGGATACTGCATGCTCTTTTGGCATTCTTTCTCTTGTGTTATATACCAGCACAAGTCGCAAAGACTCTCGTTTGTATCCCAGTTCAGGCATTTTGGGACACGACGGTTGTCAACTTCAAGTGCATCGACCAGACTAAGCTTTTCTTGTACGACGGCTCCATCTCAATCATGTCAGATCTGATGATCTTGGTTGTTCCCATCCCTTTGACTTGGGCTCTGCGGGTGTCGTTTGCCAGAAAGGTGAAGGTGATGGCACTTCTAGGTGCGGGCGGTGTAGCTTTTGCCGTGACGGTGTATCGTGTATACCTTACCACAAAGTTCGGAGACACCAAAGACCCGACTGTGGATTTCATTCCTCTTGACTGGACTGTGTGAGTCTTCGCCTCTGGAAGAGGTTGTGTCCAATGTGACACTCTCAACTGACAACAATTTTGTTAGGACTGGAGAGCTCGCCATTGGTCTGGTTTGCGCTTGCTTTCCTTCAATCAACCATCTTCTCGAGCGGCGCAGCGCTACGAGAGTATCGTCTAATTCTTCCACGGCAGGAATTTCTTGGTGGAGGAAAGCATCGAAAGACTGTCTTGACTCTCTGTCATCTTGGGGGATGAATCGTCGGTCCGAGCTAGCGGCGGGGAACAGAACGAGACTCCAAAACACGACAGCAGATTCGAATGCAAGACTTGCGTCGACTCCCGGAAGCACCCCAGGCACAGAAAGGGATGAGCCGCAGCAGTCGGACTATGACATTGAACTGGCCGTGATTTCGATGCCACCAAGCGAGCCTCATCCGGGAAACTTGGTAACGACGAGGGTGGGCAGCCGTAACGACGACCTGTTAAACCCTCTACCAGTCATTCGACGCAGCAGTCCTTTCAGAATCGAAGGCCCGTCTTGATGAACCTCTCCCATCTGCGCTGATGCGGTGAGAAAAGAGCCAAGCTTCTACGACGGTCAGTCGTACGGACGGGTCGTTCAAAACGGCTCGATAACGGGCTAGCAAGGGCTTCAAGCTAAGCTGGGAATTTCGAGAAACAAGGCCATCTCGAAGCTCACTCGATTCACAATCCCGATCAGAACTAGAAGGACTAAAGAGTCTTGATGCAAAAGGAGCCTCCTGCCTACCCATCTAGTCCTTGGCTTTATCCGCACCGTGGGATGTAGGCCATGCACAAGTCCGACGGGAACGATTGCCGACAGCTACGATAGCCGGTGTGTTGCTGCCGCCATGGATGCTATCGATGTACGGATACAAATATCGACGTACCCTTGTCGTCAATCAAGATGAGGTTATCGTGGTCAGTCAATGTTAGGTTCTAACCCAGCAGGGTAGTTGAGATCCCCGAAGGCGAAGGGTCGAGGACAAGGGCGAGAGGTATGAGTGGGTCGTAATCTCCGTTGCTCTCATGCGGGTGAACAAACCACACGCCCAAACATGGGCATTTTATGCTGAAGTCTGAGCGGGATGGAGGATAAAGGCCAAAGAAAGGCCTTGACTCTTGTCCCTGTCGCTGCTGAGGCGAATTGGGGCCGGAGGAAGAGGTGGTACATGGCCCGAGCATGGTACCCTGTAATTAAGGATCTTCTATTGAGACAGAATCCGAGGCCGGCAAGATGAAGAGGCGATAGATGGAAGAACGGTCAGACCGTGGTTTGTTATGCAGGTCATTGGACACCGGAGGGGAGTTGTCGTTTGCTGGAATTGAAACTGGTCAGATGTGGGACGAAAGAAAAACACAGCCAGTCAATAGACGATGTTATGGAGCGATGAGTAAGACACGCCTTCCTGGAGATGCAGAATTGGTACGGCAACGGCGCAGCATTTGGAGGTCTCAGTCTCACCTACAAGTCCACCATTCCTGCCAGTGCCAATCAAGCCATTGTCTGGGGAGCAGTGGAAGGAACACCCGTCTCTGGTGCCGGCGCCGTAAGCGGATGGAAAACATGTGATTGGCCACGCCTCCACCTCACGCCGCTGACACAGTAATAATGTAAGGCGAAAGGAAGGCAAACCTCCAGCTCCCTCCTCACCGTGAGAGTCCACCGGCCACGGCTGGACCCGGGATTCATGGGGATTGGAGACGGCACCACACGCCGCGCTGCCCTGTCCGGCTGCGGCCCGCGTTGGGAAGTATGTGTGGCTTGGCTTCCAAGCTACACCATGTCGCTCCAGCTAGGTACTCAACTACTGCATACTTGGGTCGTCAGCTGCCATGCCTACCTTACTACAGAAGCCTTCGAACAGGTAGTCAATCCAATCCTCCAAGCAATGGAGGAATGACCTGAGAATGCAGCTCACGGCCAAGGCATCTTTATCGGTCCCATATCGATTTTGACAACAAGCAGCAAACAATTTAACCCTTTTTGAAACTTGTGGGATTTGAGAGGTGCGCTGGCAGCATTACATAAGACACCTTATTCAGGCACGATACGTACTCCCATCTCTGAGTGGGCCCGTCTGACCGTCAGGAGCCTAACATGATTGAGGTGTGCTTGTGCTTGGGTGCCTCCCATCCATTAATCGTTCAGCGTTCCACCTCTGGATGACTTCCCCACGAGCCCCTAAAGATGCCCTGAAGCCATGGTGAGGCGTGAGTGAGCTCAGGCCGAAAAAAAAGAAAAGAGAAAAAAGTGACCAGGGTGTGCCAGCCAGAGCCAAGGCGAACCCGCGCAGGCGACGGGACCAGGGGGCGCAACTGGCAAAGCAGAAAAAAATATTCACAAAATCCCACTTTGCCATTCTCTCCCCTTCCTTTCCCTTTCCTTTCCTCTCCTTCAGCCCACACAACAACACGCACCGTTGCACGCCAATCTCCCCCCCTCAGGGTGCCTCCTCCCATTCCCTTTCTCCCCTCTTCCTCACGTTCTTCCCTATCTTTCTTCCTCGGGTCCCTATAGCCTCACGGCTCAAGCTCCAGCCAGTCGTCGTTGCTGTCGTCTGCCTCTGTGTCCTCGTTGTCACTGCACATCTGTGTTTGCATCTCGATTCCGACGCCGCTCTGAATCACGACTGCCCCGTCAGCCATCAACCATCGATTCACACGTCATCCGTCGACCAGCTTCAAAGCCAATATCCGACGCCAACTCTGTGGTATACCCAAGTATCCATATTCGACGTCAGAACATCAACACAAACGCCTTGCCGCCGATTGCGAATAAGCAGATCAACAAAGCTTCCTTTGCTGCAAAGAAAACACAAGACGTCGCCGGAATACCCACCCCCTGGTCAATCCTCAGTTTCCGTCCATCTCAAAGCAACACACGTCAAGCTCTCGAGCCATCACCATCTGCCTTTGTCCATCTACCTCGACGACTTCGATTTCGACGACTACCTCTGATCTCTGAGCCCACTGAAGAAGAACCATCAATTCCACCCAAGAACGTCACCCTTCCGACCCCACCGGCACTACCTGCTCTTGATACACACTGTGACTTTGACTAGTTATGGCGTCCTCGCAATTGCAGTTTGCCTACCGCACCCAGAAGGGCATCGGCCTGTTTGATGCTGCGCCGTCTTACCAGCCTCTCTCTGGGTTCGCCAATCCTGAAGGGAACCTCCGGTGTTGTGCATACTCGCCCTGTGGCCGTTACTTCGCCTGGGCGAGCCCCGAAGTTGTTACCGTTGTCGACGCTTCCACCGGCCAGCAGGTTCTTGCCCTCCCCATCCTCAATGTCTACGAGCTCGGTTTCTCCCCTCTCGGCACCTTCCTCGTCACCTGGGAGCGGCCTGCCAAGGACGAGAACGGAGATGCGACCAAGAACCTGAAGGTCTGGCGTACTGTTGAAGATGGCGTCGCTGGAGCTGACAAGCTGCCTTTGGGCAAGTACGTCCAAAAGTCACAGGGAGGCTGGAACCTTCAGTACACAGCCGACGAGAGGTTCTGTGCCCGCCAAGTCACCAATGAAGTCCAGTTCTACGAAAGTCATGATCTCGGCACCGTCTGGAACAAGCTGAGAGTCGAGGGTGTAGCTGACTTTGCCCTGGCTCCCGGCCGTTCCCACTCCGTTGCTGTCTTCATTCCCGAACGCAAGGTAAGCAGTCTTTGGATCACCCCATTGACCTTATCAACATGCTAACAAATACTTCTCAGGGACAACCCGCTGCCGTCAAGGTCTACAATGTGCCCCAGTTCAATGCCCCCATTTCTCAAAAGACCTTCTTCAAGGGCGACAAGGTCCAGCTCAAGTGGAACCAGTTGGGAACCAGCATTCTCGTTCTGGCCCAGACCGATGTCGACAAGTCCAACAAGAGTTACTACGGCGAGACCACGCTGTACCTGCTTAGTGTCAATGGCTCTTTTGACGCCCGCGTCAGCCTTGATAAGGAGGGTCCTATTCACGATGTGACATGGTCCCCGAACTCCAAGGAGTTTGGTGTTGTCTATGGATACATGCCTGCGAAGACTACCATCTTCAACCACCGCGCTGTTGCCCAGCACTCGTTCCCTCTGGGACCTCGCAACACCATTATCTTCTCGCCTACGGGACGATTTGCCCTTGTTGCTGGATTTGGAAATCTGGCTGGCCAGATCGATGTCATTGATCTCGAGAAGGATTTCCGCAAGCTCCACACCATTGAGAGTGGTAACCCCAGCGTCTGCACGTGGAGTCCCGATAGCCGTTATATTATGACGGCCACCACTTCTCCTCGTCTTCGTGTCGACAACGGCATCAAGCTTTGGCACGTCAGCGGTCCTCTCATGTACAACGAGGACAAGGTTGAGCTCTACCATGTTGTGTGGAGGCCCCTGGCTGCTGAAAAGGTTGCGGGCGGAGATCCCCTGAATCCGGTTCCCACCCCCCACGCCTCCGCGGCCACTTACTTAGGCACCGTAAAGACGCCCAGCAAGCCCGCGGGAGCTTACCGCCCCCCTGGTGCTCGTGGTCTCGCCACCCCGCTTCATTTCAAGCGAGAGGACGAGGGCGGCGCGGCTCACATCAGCATGAACAACGGATCTGCGCCCATTGGACCTAACGGGTTTGGGCGCCCCCGTCGTGGTGTGCCTGGTGCAGAGTTTGCGGTCCCTGGTGCTGCTCCCAAGGTTCCCGGAGCCGACCCTAACGACGATGAAAACTTGTCAAAGGCGGCGCTTAAGAACAAGAAGAAGCGCAACAACAGAAACAAAAAGGACGGCGAAATCAACCCCGAGGGCCAGAATGGCGGTGGTGCCTCGCTCGCCCCGCCTCCCCGTGACTTTGGCGCGGGATCTGGTCATGAGGGTCGCAGCCCTGAGCGCCGCGGCGGCGCCGGAGGTAACCACAGACACCGCAGCCACTCTCGTAACCCCGGTGCGGGTCAGCATCGTAACAGGAGCAACACTCACCGAGGCCAGAATGGCGCGCCGCAGGTGCCCAATGCGCAGCCTCAGCAGGCCGCACCGGTGACTGTGACTAGCCCCGGCGCCGATAACTCGCAAAACCCGAATGCAAAGAAGATTCGCAGCTTGCAGAAGAAGGTCCGCGCAATTGAGGATCTCGAGATGAGACTGGCCGGAGGCGAGAAGCTTGAGGACACGCAGATGAAGAAGATCGGCACCAAGTCCTCTGTGCTCAAGGAGTTGGATGGTCTCGGTGGTGAGGGTCACTAAGGTCATCGCTAACGCTTGGTGAAAAAAGACCAAGGATGCGAAAGATTCTGTAGGAGAAAGCGGCCACCTAATGGATACTGGAATACTGAAGGGATCACAGCCCGAATGATACAGGTCTCTGGGATCCCTGGCAGTTGGACGAGTAGAATCAGGATTACGTGTGTAGAGGATCAGGAAAATGGAAAATGCAAAATGCAAAATGCAAAATACAAATAGCACGGCGCTTACACTTGCTATCGATTTAATGCGCTCCTTTGGATTACCAGCTTGTGACATTTGTTCATCAATTAAGCCTTCAAGGAAGGGAGTAACGCCCACGGTTCACGGTGGAACTCAGGGGCCCAGGCTGAATGCGCGGATGTCAGGCTTACGATAACCGTGCGAGAATATTGAACCTTATGGGTGAGAAGCGAGCTTGGAAACCCTGGAAATCTGGGGTATACTACGCGTAGGACGAAGCTATGTAGACGTCGATATCCCAGTGATTCGTGGGAGGAAAGTAAGTCCGTAGTCTCATGCTACGGTGACTTGGAGCCCAGGATTGTCTTCCTTCAATGACTGGTAAGCTTGGGTAGGATGGCGGGGAGCATCGTATTGAGAACCTGAACTTCCTTCAGATGGTGGTTACCGACGCAAAGTACCTGCCGTAAGTATGAGATACTCATCGCACCGGAACGGCTACTTCCCTTTCTTGACGAACTTATCATGCTCGCTTGCTCTTCTTGCTTGTTCCATCATAAGCTCCGGCATGCGAAGTTGGCGACGAAAAGGCTCGGGTACGCGTATTCGTAAGGCGGGAGATAGAGGCGAGCTAGGCTAGCGTTGGCCGGGGTGGAGAGGAGCCGGACTTGATCGGCACGGCAGCCCGGGCGTTTTGTGGGGAGATATGCTGACTAAATTGGGATCGGGGACCGGGGTTTTGTGTGAACATCGCGATAAGAAGGACTACCTACCGTCGACCTTTGTTTAATCTCTAAATACCCAAATGATACGTAGAAAATTCGAAATTATCAAACTATATGATCGCGAGCATGAAGTTCTAGTATCAGATATGCCGAATTCTTCATTCCGATGAGAAATTTGTGGATATGGAAGCCAGTGGTGCTACTTATACACCCTCAGAGTCATTCCTGTCACCAGCGTCCACTCCCAAGTGTTCAATGCTTCAGTATTGAGCATTTGGCCGAGTGGTATCGGCTCTGACGCAGAGTCGATATAAAACAAATACTCCAATGACTTCCGCGCTGGATCGAGGGGCGCGCTGTTCGAATCCGGACAGGGGCGTGGAAAATAAGGTCAGTATTCCCCCTCCCTCCCTTCCTTTTTTCTTTCTGGCATTGCCTAAGAGTAGGTCAGGGAAGATACACTTGACACCCTATCTCACACAGCTTCAAATATGGATGGCAGTCGTGAAGATTCGTAGTGAGGGAGCTTCTGCTTACCGAGGCGAAACGAGGTTTCAAAATATGGAGTGACTGAAAACCCGATTCTGCCGCAGAGCAGAGCAGAGCACGCACAATCTTTTCACTCCGCACAAACGATTGAGCTGAGTTCAACATGAGGACTTTATTATCAACGAACCCGATTCCTGATCATTTATCGTCTTCGATGAGAACGTGCCACTCATAAGTGTACTAACTATTATGCTTGACAGCGCTGGCGTTTTGCCCTCGTCTCCCCGCCATCATCAGATAAACCATCACCCTTCCCAACCCCATCCCGCTGCCCCTTCAGAATAGCAGCCATCTCATTCTGCCTCCTCAACAGCACAACATCATACCCCCTCAACCTCCTCTCCGAAGCCTTCTCCATCCGAAACTTCTGCATCCTCACCCCCAGCACACTCCGAATCTTTCGCACAGTCTGGTACTCGGCCAGTTCATTACTCGAAAGAGACTCCTGCCCGCCTGAAAGGTTCCTCCTCGCCCTCTTGACCCTCAAATAGAACTTGACAAGCGGCAGCGCAACCTCCATATTCTCCACGATCCACGCCACATTTTCTTTCGTTGCGCCCCTTGTGCCAAACACCTCGTCGACGCACGACGCCATGTCCTCGTACCGCGCCGACGTCTTCTTATTCTCCCTGTCGAGCGGCTTCACGTCCTTGAGCACGTCGAGCCTCATGGTGGGCGGGAGCTGGTAGTCGATGTCTTCGAAGCGGTCGTACATTTCGAGCTCGCGGACGTCGGCTTCTTTTTTCGCGATGGCGATGGGGTCGCGTTTGGGGTTGGGGGTTGCTGCAAAGGCGGTGTGGACTGCGAGGCTGCGGTTGTGGGAGACTACGTCGGCGAGGGCGCTTGTCTTTTCGAGGAGGGTTTCGACTTCGTCTTCATTTTTTGGTAGTGAGATGATTTTGGTGAGATGTGTTGGTCTATCGTTGAAATTAATGGGGTCCAGTGGCCTCTTGCAGCAGGTGTCTGCCGGTGCTGCTTCTGGTTTTGATCTCTTGCGACTCGCCGCCATTGTCTTCGTGATTGACTCTGCCATGTCTGTATGAAGTTTTTGCCGCGCAGATTACTATGTATGCAAGAGAAGGATGAATGACTGACGCTACCTTGGGGGAGAATGTAACCATAAGGGTAACGCGCGGATCTCAAGGGAGGGTGAGAGTGAGATAAGGTGTCTCGGCATCGCACGTGTCCAACCTTCTTCGTCTGATGGCTATTACGGGCGGGGGAAGCTAAACGCAAACAAACCCGGGGTCTTAGCACCACCACAGAATGATCGCTGAAACGTTCCCGAAGGGTGGGACACAATGGGTTGGAAACATTGTTTAAGCGCAGTGACTCGGGTTCTGTAGGGCTTGGCGTTGTTTCTCGGTTTCGCCATGATCATGAGTCGGTCTTTGCCCGACGGAAACTGTCATTGCCCCCAGTCGCTAGTTGATGCGCAGGAGCTGCCTTTGTCTTTGCCACTGCTATGCTGAGTCCACTGTTCGTCTTCTTTTGTTTCTATTATCTTTCATAAAATGGGGGTTGGCTTCACTCTCAAAGCGATTTGCTCCATGCGTCTTCTAGAAATGTCTTTTAATCTATCCTTCATTATTAGGTATCGGAGACTTTCAGCTATCAAGGCTATTCCGACGCAACGAGCCCCTCTACTCAAATACCAAGCTTTCTCACCAATTGGTTTGTATCAAGAGTCTCAGGCCCTGCCTATTCAGACTTAGGGTTTTCTAACCATTCTCTTCGCCATCTTGCTCATTCTCCTCATCCGCTTTCCCATCTGTCTGAGTTGTCTATCTGCCAGCTCCCGCTCCTCGCTAGTGAATTGACCACGAGATCTGTTGACGGAGTCAAAAAGCTCTTCAAGAGCCGCAACACAGTTGTGTTTCTTCTCAGGCGCCTCAACTGGCTCGATAGTCGCGACATTTCGGATGGGCGAGAGATCAAGTGGCGACGGACGCTCCGTCAAAGGCTGGGGAGATTCCTTGCGTTCAAAAAGACGACGACCTCGACGTCTTCCCATCGAAAGCGGTTCTTGATCATCGCTATCCGGATCGATCAAGATCACACGACGATCACGATGTCTTCTCACCAAGAGAGGTTCCTGACCGTCCCTGTCCGAGTCAACTAAGATCGTAGATATATATCCGCCGCTTTGAGGAGGTGTAATGGGCGTAGTAGCCGGCCGTCTTGGAAGAATTGCTGATTTCGCATGGGGCCTTCGGCGGCGCACGACGACGTCGTCATCGGAGCTTTCGACGTCGTAAACGGACTGCTTGCGCCTCACTCTCTTCGGTGTGATGGCTTGGCTCAAGGGACTGTTTGCCTTTCTTTTCTTGCTAGGAATGGGCCTTTCTGCAACGACAAGGACGTCTTCGGTGTCCTCCTCCATGTCGTGCTGGTCGCCCATTCCGCACTGCTGTAGAGAGCGGGAAAGACTTCGGACAACTCTGTCCTGGTCGACAGAGTCTTCTTCTCTGCCTTGAACGAGTGTGCTCTCACTCTCCTCGTCCTCGATCTCGTTGAACGGATATAAGCGGACAGCGTCTTTACGCCAAGTTCTAAGGACGTCGCTAGCCTTGAATCTGCTATGCTTCCAATAATTGTCCCCAAGCAAAGGGTACATCTCTGGAAGAAGTACAGATGTGGCTATGCTGTCGTTGTCTCCATTCCACTAGAAGGAAGGCGCTGTCGGCATCAAGTGAGCTGCATAGCATTCGGATATGAGATATTGATCTTTGTCGTTCAGGAGCTGAGTCGCGAGCCGGGGACACTGGGAGTTCCATTGGTCGATTGCATTAGTCAATGCTAAAAAGGCAAGCTGCCGGTGTAAAGTGGCACGTTTGCCCCTCTCCACGTTGGAGCTATCCATCCTTTAGGCATGCCGCGTATTAGCATGGCTGAAACTCGAGATTGGGTGCTGTGAGGTTTTGGACTTACTTAAGTACGTGAATGTAATCCACCAAAGCCGCTCAGTAAAATTTTGGGATGAAGTTAAACGAGGACTGTAATGAGCAAGGAGCTGGAGAAATACGTAATAGCCGAGTTGAGTTTGAGCGACACCCAAGACGACGCCCTATGGTATGTTCTTGCCTCAAGCTGAGGATAGAGTCGGTCCAATCCCGCAATGGCCGAAGCTG